CCTCTTTAACAATCGTTTGTGACAACTCATCAGTTATGTTACCACCCTATTGTATTAACATTCAATTCCTCTGAAGCATTTTGCATTACCTGACTCCACCAAGAAATTACCAACTGCATCTTTTTTTGACAAATTTAGTGTACACACACATACAATATAACCGTGTATATATTTGCGATTGTACAGCTGAGTGATGAATGAATTTGCCGCCGAAAAGACACTCTTTGCTGAACTACTGAATTGGTCTTCTCCCTATATTATTGTTAGAATGAGGATTCTTCATGATGAGCTATGTGGAACAAATTATCATCAACTGTGAATGAGCATTATTACAAACCTACAGCTGATTGATTGCCACTCATTTCACCTACAAGCAGACGGTATTAATGAGAATGTCAAAAACAGACTTTATAAGGCGGGCGGTCTTCTGCACTCTACAGCAGAAACAAAAAAATATCGAATTTTCAACATTAATTTAAATCCAGTCAGTTCTTTTATATTGGCTGAAACTTGACATAGGAGTCACACAATGAATTTCTAACAGTCCACTGTAGCCTTTCATCAATAACTGCATTCACCAGCTAGCTCTATCAGATGAACACCATAAAGGATTGAGAGCCAATGAACAGCCTTTTTCTTATAAGATATTCTGAAGAAATTGGAGGGGGATTAATTAGATACTGAGGACACTGATGAGTGATTCCCCATTTCAGACTATCGCTCGAGTGGAAGGTAAACAGGAGATGAAGAGTTGAGCTATTGAGAGTGAAATGGAGGACATGACAGGGTACGGTCAATGGTAAGGCTAGATGAAGGAGATTGCAGAAGCTAGGCTAAGATGTAAATGTACTGTTGAAGCTCTATGTTCCACTGTGAACGCAAAGGAATTATTATTATTGTTTCCTTTAGTTCCTAGAGGGACATAGGGTCTCGAAGCACGTGTCCTCCATGTCACCCTCGCGCACTGACGACCAACTAACTCACCTCAAACCTCCCATTCAAATTCCACTTGAGAGAGAGCCTGGCGTGTGATGTCACCCACTTCATGCTTTGTTTTCTAAGAGTATGGCTACAGTCCAATCCACCTCCATTTCTTCCTGCATATTTGTTGCATACAGTTGGATCCTGCTGGGTTGGATTGAGTCGGTTCCTTGGTTCATTGCCAGAGTTCCCTGTTGCTGGTGTTTTCTGGCCGGCCACCTGATCTTGAGCGAACGAGTTATTGTGCGAAGACAGCTATTGATGAAGATGTGTAGTTTGTTCGAAGTCGCCTTCGTGACTTGACAAGGCGCGATGTGGCGCCAAATCTCTGATCCGAATATATTAGCTCTGACTTCATATTAGGAGTCGAAAATCCGGATCTTATTTTTCATGCTGAGTGCTGTTGGTCTCCACACGCACTTGATGAGAATAATGAAAACTTGCCTTGTTTTCCCGATCCTTGCTTTGATGATATCCCTATCAGAGCTGTCCACCTGTAGTTGAAACGATAATTCCCAGGTCGATTGGTAGGTAGGCAGGTAAAGGAGGTTGCTTCTTTCACATTTCTCCCATTTACACTGACTGTTGTCTGTTGTTGTTGCTGTTGGCCAGGGTTCCTCATCATCACCTCTATTTTTTTTATGTTCACCTGGAGTCGTATCTTATCTGGATGCTTCTTCCATCGCCAACTTGTTGCTTTTTTTAATCGCATATCATCCATTTTGCGGGAAATCAGACATATATCACACCGGCGAAGTCCAGATCCTCCAAATTGTTTTCTTGTATGGGTCCAATGATGCCTGTCTCTTCGCTGTCCACGGTCTGGCAATGCAAAGGAACATTCTTTACACACATATGTTGAAAAACAGTACACAAGTGGATTCCGAAAAAGCCTAAACTAATGTAATTGGAGATATTTTCGACTTCATAAGATAGTTCACAGTGAACAACGTATTGATATAATAATACTACAAAGCAAAAATCAGCATGATTCGCTCTTTTTGATAGTGATTCGTTACATCTATTTAGTGAATATTCGTTCCAGGTGAATACTAGTCCATATTTCACAATAAATAGTCTTATTTAAAAATTCTCTCCACCCTAAGATGCATCATTCCACTTATAACACTAACTTATCACACATGGAAACTTGTCAAGTAAAATTGTAACAGCAGAAGGCAAGACACAGAAGTCAAGGTATACTGTCAAGTGTTAAAACATCTATTTATATCTATGCAGTTTATATTCTTTACACAATCATCACTGAGCAAGCGTGTGACTTTAGTTTACATTAAACCACATGAATGTTCAAATACAGTATGTATAGTATTCTGTTGCTAATGCAGTATTGAACTTTGAGAATGGTATTCAGACGTTAACACCAACAAATACAATGGTTCTTACTGTGAGAATGATATTCCATTGGAACACGTTGTCTTTATCACACCAACACACTCGTCCCCGAACCCATCAAATACTTTTGACTGAAGTTGGTCCAATCTTCTTGGTGCTGGAGGCTTTGTGTGCTTGTCTTACTGTATCCGGCTCCGAGGCTTGCTGACGTTCAGCCTGTTTTCTTTGTTTGAACTTTTGATCGTATATATGTGACTCTCTCTCACGGTGACCGTGTATGCTCTTTCCCAATTTAGAAGCTGTTTGCGTGAAAATGGCTGCAGCGTATTTGCCGGTGTTTCGCCTCACACCATCATATGCTGCCTTCACCTGACCTCTCAGCAGCCTCTTGGCTGATGGATGTTGAATGCCATTCAACTTCGCAACAGCCTTGAAGTCCTGCAAGAACATCCATATGCCTCCATCCTCAAAAACTGAAAGGCAAACGCTTTTCATTTGTTGGCAGGCAGTGACACCAAATGTAACAGCGGAAGGCAAGACATGGAAGACAAGGTATATTTTCAAGTGATCAAACAGCTACTTATATCTATCTATACAGTTTATATTCGTTAACCAATCACTGAGTGTGTGATTTCGGTTTACATTAAATGACATGAAATAGAATGTTCAAGTATATACATACAGAGTATTCTGTTTCTAATGCAGTGATGAATTGTGGGAATAGTATGTCTGAGAATAATATTCCTTGTTGTTATCTGTATCGCACTACCACAACTTGACTCAACTTTTCCTCTTAATATCAAGTTTTTAAGGAAAAAAAATGAACTGCATGGTTACTTCAGAACTTTTCCCCTTTTACACCCCAATACACATTTAGATATCTCTAGCGTGATAATTTCCTCTTTCTACTGTCAATATCATGACATATATTTGATGGAAGAACCAGTTTGCTGGAAAACTGTAGACTCACTCATATATATGTAAACTTACGTCTCACTTACTCAAACTGAATATCATTCAAAGGTTTTTCTGTTTAGTTTTTGTTTATTTTTGAAAGATGGAGACTGTAATAACACTATCGATCAGACCAAAATTCTTTGAAATATCAAATGCGGTAACTGCCAACTTGTAGCTTGAAGTGCTGTGAAAGTATGATGTCTCCCTTCCCGAGATAGAATAAAAGCAGTCACCAAACGACGTTACACTGCCCGCGTTTTCTGTTCTATCTCCATCAACCTCATTCAACAGCTGATTGGTTATGTGACCATCCCAACGTGTCAGGTTATCCACAAGGGAAAACTCAGCGAGGCGTTCGAAGTGAATACAGAAGTAAAACATGGCTGGCTAGCTGCTTATTATCACCAACGATCATGTTTTTAATTGTGGTGGACTGGATCATGTGTCATACTCTGCGTTGCGAGTGAGTGAGTGAGAAGACAGAAAGGCACTGCACTGACCGATGAGAAGACTCTAAGAGATGAGCGTTTCGCGTGTGGATGAGTTATGCCGTTGAATGTCCCACAAACACAAGCTCTAAGACTTACAGGCAGACAGGCGAAAACTGTAAAAAAAACTGGCTAAAGAGGCTGGCTGGCTGGCAGCGAAGACCGGAGTGACTCCATCCAGGGGGACTTAGAGAAGGTGGAGACTGAGATGTGCAAGATAACCAACCGACAACCAACAGCAACAACAGTAACAACCAGCGGGAATCACCATCATTGGGATTAAGAGGTTGGCAGAGGTTACGCCCTGTCTTCGTTTATATGGGATGCTGCACTGTTTCAACCACAGGCAATCGGAATGCATGAAGATGTGAAAACCAGCCAGAATACGACTGCATCAACATGAAACCAGTTTGAAAAACTTCTGCGATAACTCAGCATAAACAACAAGATTCAAATTTTCAACACAAATGTCAGTGAAGTCAGTCAATCAATTCTTCTTTACGGGTCAGAAAGTGGTCGATCGTGTCACGAAGAGGATTTCCAAAATCCTACTGCACACCTTTATCAACAGCTACCACTTTCACTGGCTGACTTCATACTGAAAAACAAAAGCCAACCAGTTGGCCGGCCAGAAGTAATTGCCAACAAAACACTCTGGCAATGCGGAAACCAACCAGGAGCTGCCGATCGCACAACAAATGTGTAGGGGCAAATGGAGATCGATTGATTAACTGAGCTGAGGATGGGGGCCATCGGTCGAGTGACATCGTGCGCAATGCAGGCCGTCGCTCGAGTGAAATCCGAATGAGAAGCGACTAGTGCGCGGTTGGTGCTACTGTGACGTGGAGGAGACGGTGTGGGTGAGTTGTAAGAAGAGATGAGAGATTACAGGCAGAAAATAGAAAAATAGTGATGCATTACTTACATAAGTATAAAACTTGGGTACTGTTGTAAAGTATACCTCTATTATAGATAAGATTTGATTTTGATAAATCCCACATTGTTGTACGGTGATATTTACTGATGACCACGTTTCGAGCTCAAACTATTGCTGATAATCATATCAAGTTATTCACACTAACTAACTAACTAACTAACTAACTAACTAACTAACTAACTAACTAACTAACTAACTAACTAACTAACTAACTAACTAACTAACTAACTAACTAACTAACTAACTAACTAACTAACTAACTAACGAAAAAGAAGAAAGTATCTGCGTTTTAATGAATTTTTATTTTGTAATTTTAATAACCACACCGCCACAACAACATATTCTCACACACACAAATGTAATAATTGTTTATTTCATTCTGACATGTCAGTCTAATTCCCAAAGTATTTCTGGTCCTCTTTTGGCATACTTTTTCTCATGATCAGGAGAGACACGTACAAACTGATACATTCGTCCACTTGATAGACGATTTGGTGTGAAACTCCACACTCCGCCTTCATCAGAATTACCTAGTGGTTTTGATTGAATAAATGATTGGATAGTTAACAGGCAAATAAGTGAAAAGAATACTTCCAGTTTCATTTTGCAGATAGTGACAGTGGATCTATGAAAGGATGAATAACAAAATGATAATAATAATTAGTGCCACAGACATTTATAAGTCTGATTGGTTGGAGGATTTTATCATAAGCCGATATCAGTTGGTTAGAGAACCATTCGAAAACCTAGGAGTAATGAACAGCTGTTTCGTCAGCCTAATATGTGTTCGGCTCTTCAGCAGTACGCACCCAACCCACTACCAAGGTTCGAACTCAGAACGTGCCAGTTACAAGGTGAGCTAGCTCGTATACCATTAAGCCGCTCACTCACGTGAACCCGATCCAGTTCATGAATTCTGACTTCTGCCATTTGACGCACGACACAGCGCAACCACTTATCAATGTCTTCTTTGATGAGTTACTGCCTCACAGACAGCTGTCTCATACTCTCTGCAGGTTTTACTCTGATTCTCCAAATGATGTCAGCTCATGATGAAATCCTCCAACCAATCAATCAAAATAAATCCCTAAAAAACAATACTTGAAAATTTAAAAGTCTACCAAGATAAATAGAAGATATAGACAAAAGAATTCAGGGTTCAGAATTAGGTTGACATTTAAACCAACTAACCAACCAGCCAAATAACTGTCTCAGAGATAAACTCTGTTTGTTGGCTTAAGGACCCAATAGTTCGAATTAGGAAAATCAATATAATTGACCAAATACAAGGTAATGCTGACTGTGAGTGAGGTCAATCACTCAAGACAGTCAACTAGATTATTGAAGCATACATATGTATATATATATATATATATATAGCTGTAACAACAGAAGACAAGGGTCAGGCAGCAGATCGTTTATTAAGGAAAATCAATACATATTTATAGATTTTAATGTACATTATTGTAGATTATTGTTAGTAGAAAACACAGTCTTTTGATTGGTTGTTTCTCACAGGAAGTTAACCTTGCATCTCTTTGTGGCTGTGTCAGATCATCCATATGCTAACTGTATCCGCCTACACAAAGCCTTTGTTCTCATTTTCTCACCACCAATATTGGGGACATAAACATTGACGTCAATTACTGTCTACCAACTTTGGCTAGCAGCCAGCTCTCACCACATAGCTAGATCTAGTCGGATTCGCCACGCTAAGTAAGTTGAGAAGAGTTTAAACACACTGTAGCACTACTCCAGTGTTGAAGAGAATGGAGGAAAAATACCTACTAACCGTCTTCAAAAGAATGGATACCAACACACAATTCAGTCGAAAAGTGTTTAAACTCGGTACATTAGACCAACAAGAAACCATCAACGAAGACCACTAGAAAATTCATTCTACCATATACAAGAAACAGATATCTCTGAAATAACAGCTAAAGTATTAAAACCGTTTGAAATAGAAATAGGACACAATCCAGCCAGCCAGCACAATCACTTCATTCAATATTGTGCAAACCGAAAGAGTCAACCAACAGAAAAGGAAGATAAAATTAATACCGTTTCCAAAATAAATTGCATGCATGAACTGTGATAAACACTACATCGGTCAAAGTAGTCATCCCCTTCGAATCAGAATCCAAGAACACAAATTGGCTGTAAAATGACACGATGTGTACATTCTTCCATACCAATCAATGCATGTAAATAATTATGAACACCTGCTGTACGCTACTGGACAGAGCTCCCCGCAGTTAACCACCTGTATGAATAGGGCTAGTGAGTATCAGATCAAATTTCCAGTATTGGTTTAGTACTTGAAAACGAATTTATTATCAAGCTGTACAATCGTATATATGTATATGGTTGTTTTTTAAGAAATTTTATCCAGCGAGGGAGGGAATCCATTCATAAGTGTAAATAATGGAATAATAAAAACAGTAGTAGTATGAAGTGTAATTAAAATATTTGTGAGTATAATCATAGTTCAATGTCAAGTAGCAAAACAGTTAATGTAATATACAGAACAATTCATAGGATGTATAGATGTTGGAAAGGGGTGTGAAATTATAGGATTAGTAGGCGAATTGAATGAAATAAAAATAAAAACGTTACATAATATAGGGTGAAAATTGTATAGATGGGACTCAACATTGTAAAGACATCTTGGGATTTAGAATGACAAGTGGAACTAGTGAAATAATACCGAGTACTATGCAAGGTCAGTATTGTTCAAGTGGGTGCAAGAACACTATCCTGCATGGTTGTTACGAAGAGGTGGAAGGGGAGCAATAATTAGTGCGATCATTCAACATCTGGTCCATAATGATCACCTAATGATCTCTACAGCCTCCGCCTTTAAAGTCATATATCTACGAGGCGAAAAGTAATGTGCCCAAATCACTACTACGATCCGACTCATCTGTTGTATCGCTGAAGCAGCTTTGGCTATCGAAACAGAAAAGCAAGATCCCCGGATAAAGAAAAAGTTCGTTCAACCCTTCCCCTCCAACTTTCATGGTCTTAATCCCTCTATGCTAAAGTATGGTAATCCCTAATCATATTTTGACTCTACCTATTTTTTTTATTTTGTCTATTCAATTTGCATACTCTTCCTTTATTACGTCAACTGTTACTATTGCTTTTCTCCCTTTGAACTGTCTCCGATATCATTTCACTCGTCCCACTTGTCATTCTAAATCCTAAGATGCTTTCACAATACTGAGTCCTATCTTTTCAAATTTCACACAATGTTACGTAACTTTTTTATTTTTATCTTATTCGATTCGTCTACTAATGCTATAATTTTACACCCCTTCCAAGTTCTATACATCCTGTGAATTGTTCTATTTATGACATTAATTTTTTTTACCACGTGACACTTGATATTTACCTATGATTATAATCACAAATAGTCTAATTGCATATCTTACTACTACTGTTACTATTATTCCATGTATACACAACTTTGAAAAGAGTCTCTTTGCTGACTGAATCACCACTTGTTTTAGAAAACTTATTGAACAAAAGATGTCTGCGTACAAACTCAAAAGAGAATCTCTGCTCTAGAAAGGTACATGGAACATGTTTGGTTCACTTCTCTAAGCAGGCAACAAAATTATGAGATACAAAACTGAAGGAACACCAAAACAGAATCACCACCTAAAATATGTCTGCCCGAATCATATGGCAACTATGTAGAGTCTTTAAACATTTCAAGAAAATTTCAAATGTTGAGTAAAGGTAATGTTTCCATTCATTTCAAGTGGCCTTAATTTAACATTCATTCCCAGTACATGATTAAGGTACCAGGATAATAATCATGTGACGGATACAGCATTACTGGAAAAAGAAGCCTCGAAAATGTTTGTAAGGAGATAACACAAAATAGTCGCATATTTTCTGCGGATCCCATCAAGACGAAGGCTTAGTTAGGGAAGGTTTTATGGATTCAGGACGTTTGACAACTATAACAATATTGAAATAAATGAGAGCTAGTAATCTTATGATTTTTAGTATTAGGAATGAAAAGATCCGTTCGAAAGAGAGATAACTTCTTCATAAAACTGAATCGTGAAATTATATATATATATATATATATATATATATATATATATATATAATACCAAAACATACAATTTTCAAGTATTGGTTTAGTAGGGATTTTTTTATTTGATTGATTAGTTGGAGAATTTCATTATGAGTTGACATCAGTTAGAGAACCATTGGAAAACCTGCAGGGAGTACTGCCAGACAGCTGTTTCCTTCGTCCTAGTTTGGGACTCTTCTCTAACTGGTGTCAGCTCATGATGAAATCCTTCAACCAATCAACCAAACATAATAGCTACAAAACCAATACTTGAAAATTGATGTGATGCTCACTGGCGACTGGCTCTACTCAGAAAGGTAGTTACCTGTGGTTCTAATAGGAAACCGTGACCAGTAGGCTACAGCAGGCTGAGGTGTATGAGGACAGTTACTCATCGAAGAAAACATTACGAAGTGCCAGTCCCGCTATATCATGCGTGAATTGGCAGAAGTTAGAATTCATGGAATGGCTGGCTGACCATTAAATTGGGTCCACGTTAGTGGCCACTTAATGGTCTCCGAGCTAGCTCGTATTGTGATCGGCATGTCCTGGGTTAAAATCTCATTGGTTGGGTGCGTACTGTTGAAGAGTCAGTGCCAAACTAGGCTAATGAAACTGCTGTGCGGTACTCGCAGCTGGTTTTCCAATGGTTACCTAACCGATACTAGTGCTCATGATGAAATCCTCCAGGCAAAACATACAATTCACTTTGAATTCTTTCTACACTTTGTAAATTTCATGTCGTATACAGTTTTATGCCTATAAAGCACACCTTCACTCAATACATTCCAAATTAATTCGGTCGAATTTCAACTATGAAACATACTTGATAAGACTTTTGAAACCAGTATTTATGTCAGTATCACAGAAGTCTAGATTTCGAAAGACACCAAAATTTCAAATCTGTTTCAGTAATAGTGTGGTAGTGTGATACACACAACGTGTTCCGATGGAATATTATTCTCACAAACACTCTTCCCACAGTTCAATACTGCATTAGCGCAACAGAGTACTATGTATGTAAATATATGAACGTTCTACTTCATGTCATTTAACAGAAATCAAAATAACAAGCTCAGTGGTGATTAGTTTAAGAATATAACCTGTAAAGATATGAATAGCGGCTTGATCAATTGAAACTATACCATGGCTTCCGTGCCTTGCTTTCTGCTGCTACAAATGTAACTGGGGTCTTCAACCTCTCAACCCTCATAAAAGTCCTCTAACCTGCTTCCAAAGCAAAATACTGTGTTGGTTTGCCCTTTCAAAAAATGACTGATAAATAATGACTCCTGCATTGTATGCAACTCTCTATCTGTAGGTTAAGTTTAAAAAATATTTCTTTTAAATTGCGCTAAGGTGTCGGTGGCACATCGGTAAAATGCTAGCCGCCAACCACGCCTCATGTGGTCCGGGGTTCCATCCCTGGCAGGCCACCGACGCACTCCTTTACCTCTGTCGCTTAGCCAGTAGTAAGACTAGTAAAGAAGGAAAGTTGGGAACATGAGTCTAGCAGAAACCCCATCCCGTTAAAAAT